GAACAGTTAATGAAATTAAGTTAATGTTATTAAATCTAAATATATGAAAATACAATCAAAACCTTGAAACTACAAATCTGCAACCAGAGAACGAAAACCTTGCACCACAAATCTGCAATCCCACAGTCCTGAGAAGGTCGAATCAAGGTTCTGAAGCAGTGCGCGCAGCGCACGGAGTATGATGATGTCACAATCACTAAAATCTGTGAACTTATGTATCACCAGCGTCTCCAGTGGCAAACATCAAAAATAATAATGAAGCGGAAGAGGCAGTTTCATACTATATGTAAATACATGCATTTGAATGTCTTAAATACTCCGCATATAATCAATTTTAGAAGTTTGTGGACCCATCCCAAACACTTGCCTCGCCCTAGTCGTGGAACAAATCGCAGGACAACATTGGCGATACCAGAATGAATTTGGTAGATCAAGATGGTAGTCCAGTGTCAAGCAACATCGTGTGCGACCTGGCGAATCATTGGTACAGTGCGATTCTGTGGAAACGCTGTCTCCCGGAACTCATTAAAAATAGTAATAGTGTTATTCAACTCGGATACGGTTTTAAGAACAATGTCACGGATATGATGAAAAAGTATCTCGGCTGAATATCCCCACTGTGCCAGTTCCGGAGCCAGGTAGGATCGAGTAACTGCACTTCAGTATCACAAGATTCTTAAACTATTTCAAGTTACAGGTCGAGTCTGCAGACTTCATACGTGACAGTGAACTGTAGATTAGGAGCCATAGGACTCGCATTGAAAATTGTATAAATATGGGTAATAATCCCTGAGACTTCAACAACGTTTACCTTTGCATCATCATTGTTTATTTTAAGATATTGCTGAAAAAATCTGGTGAATTTTGGAACTCTCCAATACAACACCAGTCTAGGTGGTCATGCTTAGTTGTTTTTTTTTGCTATTTCAAAGAGTCGCCCAAAATTATCCTTACTGAAAGATGCTGAGAAATGTTTCTTTGTTCCGTGCAGTTTGGATTACCTCACGGAAAAAGCCTAGCTATCTAGGGATGGCGGAATCGAGTCCGGATTCGATTACAGAATCGATTCTTCGCGGAATCGACTAGAATCGATTCCGATGCACCGGAATCGATTCTCGAGTTTGAAACTTGGATTGCAAACAATGTGTAACGTTTTGTGGCAATTTCTTCACATATATATATATATATGTTTAAACTGCTTCACTGCTATGTTGAGTTGCTACGACACCGCAAACTTCACTATATATAATATATATATAGTAGGCCCGTCAAATACGGACACCACTATAGCAAAATCTTAATTTCTCGTAATCTATACCATATAAGAGCGTGACTCCCGTATTAAAATAACCAATTTGAACGTGCCCTACTGCCCATTGTCGATTTCGGCAATCCGCTTTATATTTTGTTAGATATGAGCATTTTTTCCCAAAAAATTTATTCGGGTAAAACGGACACATGGATGGGTAAAACGAACATTAAACAAAATTAATTGAACACACTACTGAACTACATGAATGCGTATAAAACGCCCGAAAAAAATCATAAATAATAAGCCTCGAGCATTACAGTGGGGGCGAGCAATGATGTTCATATTACCCCATCAGACATGAAAACTTATTAATCATCCAGTCATGTACTTGCAACTGAACAAAAGCTTTGGTTGATCAACTGAATGTCCTTTACCATAAATAACATAACGAAACTACCCTAATGAAACAGGCAAGTTATTTATATGTAAATTATTACTGGCTTTCCTCACATGTGAAAGCTTGAACGTTTCTTCCATAAACACCAGCACAAATGTCATGAAACCATCTGAGGCATTGCTGACATTGTATACTCCTCATCATCGTAAAAACTACATTCACAAAACCCACAAACATCACTATTTCTAACAGCCTTGGCAGATTCTTTCCTGTTTATAATTCTTCCTACTTTGACCTTGCACACATGAGGTTTATTCAAACTGCTGGCCTCTATTTTCTTGGACCCTGCTTTTGCTTTTTTCCTTAGTTATAATATCAGAGTCCTCTTTATTTTATAGAACTGCTAGTTCTTTCTCATATCCTTCACTGGTGAGTATTCTCATACAAGTTATGATCGTTTTCTCACGATCACGAGGTGGTTTTAGTCGAAGTGGGGCCTTCGGAAAGGGCAGAATTTCTTCAAATGAAGTGTCACTCGAATCCAATAAACTATCCTCTGGTGATGCTGGTGAACTACTCTGTTGTTCTGTAGAGATTTGCTGTCTAAACTTGGGACCTGATGTTTGCTGAATAGTTTTACTGCAACAAGGTGAATCATTGTCAGCTTGCTGCAAACCACATGCAACAAAATTATTACTTGTCGACGAGATAGTAATGGTGAGCGGTGGCTGGGAAGTGATGTTGCTAGGCTCTAATAAATCGAGGTTAAAGTTTGACAGGGGCTGCGGTTTTCGTTAATTTATCAAGTTTCCATATCATTCCCGAAACCAGCCTTTCCTGCCATTTTAGCAGATTCTGAAAATTTATTAGAAATTTTGTTCACCATTGCAAATTCATAAGCCAACTTTCGAATGTCTTTAACCGTTAATGGGAAGAGTCTCTTTTCAAATTCGAGTATATGTTGCAAATGATCCTTTTTGTTCTAGCCCAAGGTAGGAGAACAACCAAGACTCCGTGATCCTGAAGCCTTCTTCAGCATTCGATAAACATGACAGCGAAGTGTAGCCCTTGGAACCGAATATGTACTTGCTTCAGTCAGGAGTTTTCTTCCGCTTCGTACCATTTCAATTGCTTTTTTCATGTTTTTTCCATCCATTAACATCTTTTACTACTTCTCTTCCATTTACGAGACATATTTCTCGAACAACAATTCAAAATCTGAGACAGTGTCCCACTTTGGGGTGAAATGGACACTAAAAATAAGAAAGCATATTGTTTTGTACTGTTAGACTGAAATGAAACAACTTATATCCCAAATAAACACCACTCAGATAGTGTATAAATCTGACCAATTTTTATTTTGTAATTGCATAACCACAGAGCCTACGATAAAAAATTAAAAAATCACCCCCCTAATTGTCATGACGTCATGAGGTTTATTTCGAGCTCCCACAAGCAATCATCTGCGCAGTCGAACTATGCAAACGCCCTTAAAACTTCATGAGGTAAAGTAAAAAAGCAAACAAATTGTTTATTACCTTATACTTGGTGTTTTGGTCCCACAATTGACGTTGAAACTCAATATGATAGTAAATACCCACTTTTTCGCCCCTCCAAAATCGACCCCTTCAGACGCAATCCCCCAAAATCGCAAGCATGTTGACGAGATTTGCGGCAATGGCGACGTATTCGCTTCAGCGAAACTGTGCTTAGTTACGTAACAAACGAGCAGTGAAACCGCGGCCGTAGCTCTTTTGGTGTCGCTGTAGGATCAAATCGAAAAAAGGTGTTCGCATTACCCCGCCTGTCCGTTCTCCCCCGACCTACTATATTATAAATATCGCTAGTAGGCTTTAACGTTTATTTATTTTAAAAATCTCTGTGGGTTCTGAGGGATTCGTTTTTTTTGTGCGGTTTTGTCTCATGTGGCAGATTGGATACCCATACTACTTAGTTTCGGCCTTCTTGTCCGTCCAGAATTTGAACATCGCTGTCTTGCTTGATTTCATATGGTATTTCTTGGGTGGGTATATTTTTTTCGGTAATATGTCGAGGAATCGAGATTCGTAATCGAGAATCGGAATCGAAAATTTAGGAATCGGATAAGAATCGAATACTTGTAAGTATTCATACTTGGCATCCTTAGCTATAACACTACTAGCGCAACAGAATCATAAAGAAGCCCATTTCCAATACAAGTCTTCTAAAACTTTCATAACAAATAGCATATATATATATATATAGCAAATACATTTCAATGAAACTATATTTTAAGCTCGAATATAATACGGATACCTGAACACGTTACACTATGAATGGAAACAATATTCGTCAGCATGCGGTATCGTCACATCAGCTAAATCTTAATTTTTACGACATTGATAAACGTACTGCAAGTTGACATTTGAGTAGATTTATAGAGGTCTAGTAGACTATAGAATATAGATAGAATGAGTAATCATAAAGAATCAGGAAATAAATTCAAGGGGTGTTTCCAGGGGTATATAATAGAGGCTATAAGATTTATAATATATTTAAAGCCAAAATTTGGCAAAACTTTCCAATATCAAGACCCGTTACAATTTCGAAGCAACTAATATGCAGACGTAGCCACGCGGCAAGCGCGAACCAGCGCGGCGCATGGGCATCCAATATCAATCGCTAGAGGACGTCGTCGCTCCATCCAGAAAGCTTTCAAGCAGAGTAAATATGAAGAAAATATGCTGAAAACAGGCAATAAAAGAAAATTAAAATGAAATGCTGATATTATTATGAAACATATGCAATTTGAACTATATTTGTATAATATGTAGGTGCGCCAAACTAAAAGTATCAGGTAACGAAGTATTTACCGGCAATGATTTCGCCATGCGTGATTTTTTATTATTAATTTAACATTGTCTATAACACAAAGTGAATACTCCACATTATTCTAACTTCCTTCTAATCAACTATCAATTTGTGCGTTAATTTAAAAAAAATATTGCAACTAATTTGAAAGGCCTTTTTATCAAAATTTACTGTTTATGGTGTTTTTTTTTATTTTTTTTTTCCGAACGTTATGGGTCAGCTATGATGAATCACAGCTGCTTTCAATATTAGATTAATGTTCTTTATCCAGTAGCACCTTGGACTGAATTATGAGCTATGTAACACGAGGAAAATTAAAACGAAGTATAGCCGGTATTTAGGGCTATTTATCAATGTCGAACCTTATGAACCCATGCCGGGAGGTGCCGGTAGCTTGGATTTTCTGCTCCACTGCACAGATTATCGCCCGGTGCCGGTAGCATTACATATTTATGTCGGCATTTGCTCATATGTCAATTTTTGTATTTTTTTCATTAAAGATAAAAATTGGCTTTTTTTCAAATCGTAAGCTTATAATGATAGCAAATGAACTACTAAATTGTATAAAAATAACTGGTATTTCAAGGTAATTTAGTTTTAACCTCTGATCATAAAGATATGAGCCATATATAGGCCAAATTAAAGGTTATCACAACTAAGAAATCTTGTCAAACGTGGGTACTTTATTTACCAGGCCAATGGAAAAAAGTACTCCAGACCGAATTTATCAAGGGGCCGTGTTTGATCAATGGATAAAATTACAGTAATATAATAATGGTAGTATCAATGATGACAATATACTTGAATAAGCTTATTATAAACAAACAATAAAAATAAGCAGGAAAAATAATTAGAAAATTGATATGCTGCGACAAAGCTGGAACAAAAAATGAGAAATAAAAAATAAAAATACGACATGATGAAACTTATGCTGAACAAGTTGAAAATTCGTTGTCCTTCAAATATAAGTCAAATTGCTAACAGAGTTTAACGCAATGAAAGGTTGCCGGGGAGTAATTCCAATAGTGGGTTGTAATGGATAACAACGCAACACGAAAAAACTGTGTTCACTGCACTTCAGCCTAAACCGAATAAATCCGAAATCAGAGTTATTCGAAAATGCCAAATTACAATATATTATACACAAAATTTTTATATTTCATCAATGACATCGTGACTTATTTGACGGTGCCATTGCAGAAAATTATAGAACTATTTAGCCATAATTCTTTATTCCATTAAATTTGATATTAAATGAGTATTGAAAACAAAATGACAACTGTGGGAATTGTTTTCTCACACGAAAAAAGTGCTGACACCCCACTGCTCCCACACGCCAATAACTTATTGAAATCAAGGACAACTAAAATAACCCTTATTTGACGGCAGACACTACAATACGATATTCTTTTTCAATGAGTAAATGGATGTACGTGACTATTTTAACGAGCAGAGTTAATTTTTTTAATATTTTCAACAGAATACGATTTAGCATAAATTATGTTTATGATAGTGATGTATATTGACATTAGGAATCTCGTTTCACATTAAAAAACGGAGTATTATATTACTTAATATTTTCCCAAGAATATAAAATGTCTAATTTTAATATAAAAAATTCTAGTTATTTTGATATAATTTTTCAACATTGTTACTGGAGTTTTAAGATGGCAAAAGCTGCAATGTATAGAACAAGCTGGAAAACTTTTTAAGTTAATTTTCTACCATCGGTTATCTTATACTGCCAAATTCAATTCAAACATACGATAAATATTCGCCACTAAAATCGATGTTAAAACACAAACTAATGACTTTCGAATATCAGTAAATCTAGTGTATTTTTATTACAGTGTCCGAAAAATCTGCCTATGAACATTAGTACCAATATTTTAACATTGGCAAATCCGTGGATTTTTCTCTTTTACGTAACCCACCATCTTTCTCTAACCTGCTATTATGTGTCCAAATGTTGGACGTTTTCTGTTTTATTGGAACTTCTATGCGTTTAAATCAATACTGTAAATTGGCAGTTCCCAACGGTACCAATTCAGTTAATAAAAACAGCGGGAAAATATGTTCTTTTATCCGCCACGACATTGAGAGTAATCCCCCTTGGTCCAGTAGCAAATTTGAGCGTATTTGAGAGGAGTTATACGCACCCCGGTGTTGAATTCTTTGTGAGAACCGTCGGAAACTGCACTCGTTGATGACCAGAAAATACGCCGATAACTTTGCGAGACCATCGTTCGGTTTGCTTGTCATACAACCGAATGTAAATACCAGATCCAGAGGTGCCCTCTTGTGCGTCACAATAGTGGTACATGAGATCGGGAGACTCGTCTTCAATTGGGCAGAAACGGTATAACATTTGATTGCTACGGTCTGTATCAAACCCGGTGAAGTGAATTCTGTGACCAGATGGGATTGCTTCTTTCTCAGGACAAATTCCGATATCCATGTACTCTGTTCCGAGTGCTCGTTTAAGTTCTATAACAGCATAATCGTACTCAATGGGATATTCGCTCGTCTTGCTATTTTTTGCAGCATCCAGCCATCCTTGTGGTATATGTATACGTTTCGATCTTACCCACTTGAAATACGGTGCAATCGGCTCTCTCATGAATGAAACATCTCGTTTAGAACGCTGATTGGAATCCCCTTGTACATCATTAGTGGAACCTTTCTTCGGTTTTTTATTCTTGCTTTTGCGTTGCTTTTTTCCACGGCCAGCTTTACGGCGCTTGCCTTTTCCGCGTTGTTTTTGCATTGTTTTCATAAGCTTGCCAATTTTGAGTTTTCGAACGCCCTGTTGTGAATAAAGATGATCATATGATATCTCGAATAAATAAATAAAAGCGAGATGATTTGCTACCGTAATTGACCAACAAGCCTTGATGGTCATCGCAAATTAAAATCGGAAATGGATTTGAAAAACATCATTTAAGAACTCGGCAACGAAATAAGTTTCATTACTCCATTACAATTAGCGTATACGTCCATCTCGTGTTGATAAGAAATTACCATGACATCTGCCTAAAGCGGGTTGTCCACGGGGCCAAACACGCGTAAATTCGAGATATTTGGCCCAGAATACCAACACAGTCACCGTGTTGTTCGTTATGGTGAGCGATCCTATTTGTCAAGAATGACTCTTCAAAAATATCATAACTCGATTCAAATATTGAGAGTTTTAAATTGGCTTTCTATGTACCATCGAACCAGCAGAACTTTAAAGCGTTTTTCACAGAAGGGGTAATTTTACCACAAAAGTAGATAAAAAAAAATTGGCCCGAACTCGTAGACGTCAATACTTTTACCAGGAATCGTGTATCACCAACAATGAGCATAAAAGGCGGAAGCTCGGTATTTTTTAACTGACACAGCTATATAGGCTCCGTAATTGGCGAGAAGTGGGAGTAATTGACCACGACGAATCCAATTGAAATTTCAATCGTTTGTTGAAAGGCGACGTTTGCTATTACGTCGATTGGCATTTTTGATGACTTGAGTTGGCAAAACTTCAATATTTTGGGCAAATATGCATTTTCGTTTTCTTGGCAAGGTAATTATTGCATGTAAAATTACCCTTTTCAAAATGAACTTTAGATGTGGAAATGAATGACGCGAAACGACGTAAACAAGTCTGGCAGAATTTAATTTTTTCGACTGTATGGGATTGCCATACGATAGTTTTATTTCAAACTATATGGAATATTAATAATAATTTTCTGACAAACTTCCAATGACATTTTGTGTTTAAGGTTTATAGTACAGTTATAGAATTCGCTGCAGTCGGAAATCAGAATTTTAAATTTTTTATGGTAATAATTGGAGTCGAAATTTTTTACGGAAACTGAAGTAAATTAAGTTGTCGGAGTCAAAATTTCCATTAACCTGGAGTATGGAGTTGAATCCGGAGTCAAATCTTTAATAAGCATTCGAAATCCGGGTCAAAATTATTTTAACCGAAGTCAAAGGCCGATTGCAAATTTCCCCGACTACACAACTCAGATTTTACTACATAAGAGTGATGTGTGGAAAATTTTACGCTGACAGATTTAGATAGACCTGAGCCGCCAGCTTGACGGACAGGGCACAAAATGTATTATTTTGACTTTCATTCTTTTTTAATCCTCCAAGGTCGATATGGTCATGACCAAGGGCAATGATGTCATACATTTCAGTCATAACTAACATTGGCATTGATCTGTTTAGCCAACATAATGCCCCATACTTTGTGTATTTTGATAAACGAGGCATAGCCTAATTCGTTTTTCGATATTTGTGTTTTCAATAATTAAAGTGGATTACGTAAGCCTGTCTGCAGTTTAATGACATAGCGTCATTTTTACAAAACGTGCATTTCTCATTTCAAATTTGTCTCCTAAAAACTGCTGTAAAAGAAGTAAAATGCGGTTTTTGTTCGTTTATTTTGCTAAACAAACAGTTTTAAATCTGTACTTCCGTAGTATGTGTACCAGGTTAGGGCTAGGCCATAATTTTATTCCGATTTGCCTTATTTTAGTAATATTGCGAACTCGGCGACTGTCTGCGTTAGCCAAGTGAATATACCCCCTGCCCACAGTCCCTTTACACTTGATGTAAAGTAGGCGAACAAAATTAGTTACCACCATTTGGTACACATACTTCTGGAGCGCCATGAAATCAATGTCGCGTTTGGTCCATGTATGATCACTTGTGTACTATGTTTATGCCAGGGCTAATATTCTAAATGAATTCAGACATGTCCCTTTACACTTGATGTAAAGTACAATACAAATTTCAAAGTACAATACCATAAATTATTCAGAAAAAGCGCAAATCAAATTTTTTCTTATGTCAACACGACTTCAAAGACGACGGATCCCGAATGCAATTACAGAAATGCAATTTCCATCTGCATAATTTCACTTGACACTATCTTTAAAGCACTTTGTATGTCGTCATCGTTGGCCAAAGTATGACATCAGTTTAAAAAAAAAAAATTGCCGAGCGCCTAATGGGGAGACTAACCAAATTTACCTTCCTTGTTCAAATTTATACAACTTGTTTACCAAGGTATGAAGCTCTTCTTTTACATACAGTGACCTTATACTTGTCTAACAGCAGTATAATGACCTAATTGTCGGGAAATAAAATTTTCCAAGTACTGAAGAGACAAAATAGCGAAGGCGATACAGGCAGAACTTGCCGTTGACTCCTCCTGGGGTCGCATAATACTAAGCTACGCTAAAGCGATGATCCAAAGTTAAATTCATAAGAGAAGTAACATTTTTAATAGATCATGAATTGGTTTCAAGTACGAATAAGTTGAAAAATTCGTATGTTAGTGGGCTCACTTTTTATCCCCAACAGCCAATACAAATGTTGTTCGGGTAACTTGAATCCTACTTCGTGAAACAAGAATAAACTCAAGTCATATTTCCTCTATGGTGAAAAGGAATGCATGTGGGAAAATGTAAAAAAATTGCAGTATGTCTTGTGATCGAAAAGTGATCGTTTAGAGATGCTGCAAAATACTTAATATTCCTAGGCTCTTATTGACAGGATTAGATAGAATATACTAATATGGCAATACATCTCTTTTACATGATCCACGAACGTGAAAAGCAACTTTTCAAATATTTTGATCTGTACTAATCAATATTGGTAGTAGTTTTTAACGAGTTTTAAATCGAGATGATCCCAGCATTATCGCCTGTTACTTGATTAACGTAAAAGTGGGTAACAACAAATAGGAATTCGATAACATTCAAAGGTCATCGTGTACCTGTAACCTATGGAACTGTCACTGCCACAAAAAATGCAGAAATTGCTCAGAGTTTTACAGTATTTACATATATACTGTGGAATGTGGTTATAGATGTATTATAGAAGTATTCATTCCAAACAAGCATTAAGTTTGTGCAGCAGTGACACGCCACACACTAGCCAAAAATCTGTTGTTGTGAATGCTTTGTGTCCATTCAATAGGCTTCCAGTGATAGACAAACATTAGTAAAATTACAGTTTTTACAATAGTATTAAAATGAAGAGGATTAAATTGAAATTCGAGTCTTTTGTTTACGACCATTAAGCAGTCGAGGAATGGAAGGTAACAGAAATTTAAACTTCAAGATTTAACGCACTTGATTTTAAATCTAGTTACAAGGGCACGTTCCGAAATTTAAGCCGTGATTTAGTCTGGATATTCTGTACCTATTACTTCAAAGGAATTCATTCCTGCGACCCACGCAGTCAACGAATATTTCTTAATTTCTACACGGTTGAACATGTTGCAAAGATAAGTCGTACCATTGAAAATTGGCACATGTTTGGCATATGCCTGAAAAAATTATTTTTTAATTGACTGGAAATGAGTGGATTACGTTTCGTTTTCGAACGCTATTTGGATGAAAAAAGGTTAAATTCCTGAGCGTGTTGGATGCTACTAAAATATATTTATTTTGTTGCTGGAATAACTCGGGCCCCAGATTCAACTTCAAAGAAAAAGCTGTAAAGTAATGAAACCATAATTACAGCGAAATCAAGTGATACAAGAAGTACTCGTGTGTGCCTGGTTTCCAGAGGTATGATACAGACGTAAATTTGAAAAGTTCTGAGTAGGATGAGGTTGTAAATCCAACCAAAGCGAACTCAAATCTACTTGAACCGATTAGTTCTGACGGAAGAGTGAGATAAATAGTTGGATCGATATATGGTCACAAACGTTCATTAATTGGCTCCGATCAATGATTTTGAAATACATTTAAAATATGCCTTATATGCCCATATCATTCGACCACAGAATTTTATTTATCAATTTATCCTAATATAAAGTCGAGAGTAGTTCCAATTTTGCCGAGTAGTGGGATGTGAGGGAGATAACAGGTAAAGGCTGGGCTCATCGTTCCATCTACATTTATTCTTGGCATAAACCTTGGTTCGGTTCACACCGTTATGGATTGAAAACGGCGGGCGT